CTGTGTTGAATCTCTCTGGGAAGATTCCAGTCTAGAATGTTTCTATCGTAAATAAAGTACACCAGAGCCTGGTTGGTTGTCATGTGCCAATCATGAGACAATGTTGGGATGACAGAGGTGTCTGATGAGTGGAAAAAGGCAAGGTGATGATTCCAGGGCTTCTCCAGCAGCCTCATGGCTAACTCGAGACTTCCGGCTGCTAAGAGTGATGGGTCTGGATAACAGGACCTCCCCTTGGGACCATCCGGCACGCTCCTGGCTGCTAGCTCTGTTCTTAACCTTCTGATCTTCCTTTGGTTTCCCAAGTAGACTTATGTCCTGGGCAAGAGAGTCAGTGGACCTGCCACATTGAGTACCTCAGTTTGCTGGGCCGTCCTGTTTGTTGGTGGAAGTGAATGAATCAGTATTCCCTTAGCATGAGCTAGGTTTCTCAAATTGGTTTATTCCTCAGTGGACTAATACAACTTACATTTCTGAACATAACATGCATGGTATGGACTCACAGCAAACTCGGGTGTATAGATACTTCAGGAAGCGCTGATTCAACCTCAGATTCTTCTAGTGATCTGATCTGAACCTCTTATCCTCCCCAAGAACCAAGTTTATTATTTATTTATACCTTTTCCAGATCCCTCCTGAAGACAGAAATGCATTCATTTGGTGACACGCAGAAACCTCTGCTTCATTTATTCATGCCTTTGTTCCGCACATGTTTATTGAGCTCAGACTTGGTTCCGGGCACTGTGTGAGGTTCACGGAGACAGAGAGGAATGTACCACAGCATTGGTTATAAGGTGCTGCAGTAGAGGCATGTGTGCGAGGCTCTGAGGGAGTGGAGAGATGGGGGGCTGGCCTCAGTCTGCTGGAGTAGGGATGCCAGACTCCTAGTTTGAAACCCTACTACAGAAAACTCGTTAGATGTCTCCTTTTCCATTTTTTCTTCCCTCAATAGGACTGTTGTAGCCGGTTTATTCTACTCAACACCTAGGCTTTCCCACTGTTCCTGTAAGAGACCTAGAGATTTGGTCTTTCAAATCTCTATAGCAGTGGCCGTTTTTGCCCTCCAGGGAACATTCGCCAGTATCTTGAGACACTTTTGACTTTTCGTCATGACTGTGGGCCAAGTACTACTGGCATTTAGTGAGCAGAGGCCAAGGATGCTACTCGGCACCCTCCAGTGCATGCAGAGGACGGCCCTATGTGGAGGGAGTAGGGATTTGGTGGTGAAGAGCCTGACTCATAGGGTTCCAGCACTGCTCTGCAATTTAATAGCCATATGACTGTGGACAATGGAATTTACAGTGCCTGTTTCCTCATCCATAATAGGAATAGTAGTGCCCATGTAACGTGGTGGTTATGAGGATATCATGACTTAACATATGATACTACATGAACTATACTTGACATGAGGATAGACCTTAACAGTTATTATTATTTTTAGTTTTAAGGAAAAACTTTAACTTCTGACTCTGAAGAGCTTGAGTTTGGAGAATGCAGGGCAGCTGAGCTTGTGGCACCACCTCGCAGTCAGCTTTGGTGTAAGAACTGGCCACAGGCTTTGTTTCTCTGGTTCCTTCTTGTCCATGGGTTTTATTTTCCACTGCTTTTCACCTCTGGATTCTAGGACTTTTGATAACCTTGCCTTTCATCCTTCTGTTTCCCCACATGGACCCAAATTTATGCCCTTAATGAACCTCCCCTTAGAGAGCTAAGAAATGTATTTATGATTTTCCTTAGCTCTGTCTATTTTGGGAACGGGGAGTAAACAGGAAGCAGGTCAGGGGAGATGTTGCATTACTTCCTGATTGTCACAGCTTCCTTCTCTATAAAATTCCAGGCAGGATTGAGAGGCAGGTGGTGGTGCTTGCTTAGAAACTTCCTTCTACGCCCACCAGCTCCACCCCCAAGTTAGGTGCCTGCTGCTTCCAAAATATGCTGTAATTGGGTCACAACATTCTGCCTGCTTGAAATCATTGCTAAAAATCAAAGCAAAGACATAGACTATGTCAGTGTGATTTGAAATGTCTCCATCATCTACTTCGAGGCTTTGCAAAGTTGTCCTGAAAACGAAAGAAAGTAAATTTACCTCCATTAGGTAGCACTCTTGGTGGCATAGAACTGTGTCTTGCATTTGCTTGCAAAAGCACTCAAACCATGGTCCTTTTTGATTTTCCACGGGAAGAGGAGCTTGTGGATTCTACTCAACAGCTCAGATTTACTGTTGAATTTTCGTAACATAATTGACTTGTAAAGATTCGGTGGTTTGAATGGTATCAACAGACTGGAGAAAAATTAAGAAGTTCAGCTGTTACAGCTTTCTAATTTCTTCCCCATGAAACAGCCATCTCTCTCCTGAATGAGAGCAGTGGCCTCTCAGTGGCCTTCTAGCTCCATTCATTCATTTGGCTTTCCAGACGCTGGGCGTTGTTCCAAATGCTGCATGTGGAAACTGACCAGAATGGCCATTGCCTCTACCTGCTGGAAACTTGTCAGTCTATCGGGAAAGGCTGATTGCTAAAGAACTAACTACGATAAAATGGGATGTGTGCTACCAGAAGGAGAAGTACTCAGTGTTGCCCAGAGCAGCACCTTCCCGGGTTGGGTATAGAGGGTGTGCTGGGGGAAGGGATGGCCAGTCTGTCCCACAGCGCACTTGGTACACCCATCTCTGTGGCTGTGTGAGGCACCCCTGACTCCCAGCTCCCTCTTGGATCCCTGCTGTTTCTGATAGTGTGCCTCCACTTTCCTTCCCACCATCACCTCACATCTAGGAGTCTACAGCTACCTTCTCCATGGCCTCTCTGTGTGTGTTCTCTACGCTGCCTCCAAGGTGATCTTCTGAAGTCTTCTGCAGGTCAGGGCATGTCCATCCCAACCCTTCAGGGGTCCCTCGCTGCACTCAGGATGAAGTCCTAGCCCTTTGACGCCACACCTGACACGCTTCGTAATCTGCTGTCCCCTCTATCTCATGCTCTGAGCTTGAGCCACACTGCTCTTACAGCATGCCACGTTTTCTCTGGCCTTCCGAGAAAACCTTGCATCCTCTGTTCTCATTGCCTGCAGCCATCCTTACTTTCTGTTCTTTACCTGCTTGACTTTTGATCCTCCTTCAGGAAGTAGCTTAATCATTATCCACCTCAGTGTGTGTCAGAATGATCTGAGGGCTTGTTAAAACACACATTGCTGGCCCCACCTTGAGAGTTCCTGATTCCATCTGTCTGTGGTGTGGCCTGATGACAGTTTGCACTTCTGATAATTTCCCAGGGGATGCTGCTCATCTGGGGACCGCAGTTGGAAGACCACTGGGGCACATCATCACAGGGCAGCTGGTTTTCCTTGCTCCCACCGCGAGCTCCTCACACCCACTCACATCACACCTTTGTGGTCACACTGCATTGCAACCCTTTACTTTCCTGGCTTCTCTTCTAGTCTAAGCTTCTGGAGGGATGGCATTGTTCTTTCTCCATGTATGTTCCCAGTGCTTACGAAGTCCTGGGTGCCCAATAAACATTTGTCAAAGAATTAATATATAAATGAAAAAGAATTTTATCATTGAAGGCTTTAATAAATACACCCCAGGACATTTTTAGCGGCTAGTTTTTCTGAGAGTTTATCCCCAGTTATGATGATATAGTCTTATAGCAGGCTTTTGATGAGGTCAGTATGAGTTTGGTTAACATAAGAGCCAGTTAACTTTGTGGTTTTGTGTCCAAATTCTAGAAAGGTCTAGGGATGGAGCTCACTTTAAACCCACTATTGTTTCTGGAATGACTCAAAAATATGTAGTTTGTTGTTTTGTAGTGGCTCAGTCTGAAAATATGTGTCCAAAGGAAATGCAGGTGTCATTTAAGTTAGTAACCATAGTGTGAGCATGGCCTCTTTATTTGAAATAGTAAATCATATGGAACTGAAATTAAATGTAACCAGATGTTTAATCATTTCTCCAAGCCAGAGGGAGGTATAGCTAGAATACTTCATTTACTTATTCATTCTGCATATGTTTATTGAACACCTACTATGTGCCAGTAGGCCCTAGGGCTATGGCAATGACTAAAACACCTTCTGCTGTCTTTGTGGGAGGTGCTATGAAGAATATAGGGATGAGGTGATGTGATGCAAAGTGCCTAATTGGCTCCTTTAGATGGAATGGTCTGAGTAGGTGACTATTAAGTTGTGTCCTGAGTGACAGTAAGTGATGGATATGTCAAGATCATGACATGGAGTGGAGCAATTGCCGGCCAAGAGAATGGTGCAGAAGGCCTCATTTTAAAACATGTCTTCAAAGAGCTCCTCTGCCCCTGTAGCTCTGAGCATTGGGTTGATGTCATCTTACTACTGTGCCTGCTTATTCAGGCCTCAGCTCTTATTTCCATGGCCTCTAAAGCTGTGCTTCCCAAAGTGTGTTCACCTAAACCCGAGAGATTGGAAATACATTGTGAATAAAGGTTTCTGTCATCAAGTTCATCTTCTCTTTCCATTAACATACGAGTATTCAAGAAGTCCTGCTGAAAAGAAGATGGTTCACTTCATTTAATGCAGCATTTGTTTGTGGGCCCATGTTGCGTAGCCTCCCCAGAACAAGTGTTTCTTGGTGCACACCTTGGACAACCGGCTGTAACAGTCCTGCTTTGTGTCCACCTGAAAGAGTGATTCACGTTGATGGAGACTTCTGCACTCTTTACCTTGCACTCACCCTCCAGTGGCTGTCTGATCGTTGTAGAGGATCTTTGTGTGGGATCTTTGGTGGAGACAGGATTTCTCATGTCTCTCTCATGCCTTGTGCCCCGTTGGTCAGTCCCACTGACTTGGGTCCAAAGGTAAATGGCATTTAGAGTCCTGGAGATCACTGCTCATTTGCTGCATTCAGGAAAGAACTGGTTGTAATGTCACATGGGACTCAAGCCGTTGTATGCCTTTGCCTCTGTTAACTTACTAGAGAGTGGTTTTTGACTTGAGTTGTTCAAATTATGACCTCATCCTATCTTCTTTTGGGTATTTAGACATTGCCTTGGATGTCGGCTGACCCTAAGTAGAAGCAGGGAGAGAGGACTGACTTGTTGGAGTTGCTGAAGGTGAGCATCAGGTATGAGAAAATAAGCTTGCGGTCAGACTGGGTTAACACTATCCTGGGTTTTCGCTGACATTTTGGATTCTTAATCCCGACTTAAAAATGTGTGACTTTTAAATTTGCTTTAGGTTGAGGTATGTTTAGTTTTGGCCCTTCCGGTAGTCAGAGCCGATCGACTGGGTCTGTCTTTTTTGAAGAGTTTTATTCTCTGATAATCATGGGGTTCTAGTTTGGCACAGCAAACTGAGAAAGGAACAAGGTGGAGGCAAGCTCACGGAAAATTTTCATTTGAGGGAGAGCCCAGGATGAGTCGTTTTGAGAAGAATATTTATGTAGGTAGAATAATTGAGAGTGAAAGAGCATTTGGCTCAGTTGTCAGGGATAAGAGGAGGCCTCTATCCAGTGCTGCTGAGTTTTTATGCTGGGGGCAATTTCCAGAAAGAGGCAGGGGGACTTAGAAGAGGATTAAAAGAAGCTGCAGATATAAATGGAACAACCCAGAAACAGTCCACCCAGGGTGGGTACCAGGCCCTGAGTGCGAGGGAGAATTTGGGCTTGGTGTCCCTTCTAGTTCTGGGAACTTGGACTTTAAATTCAGAATTATTGGTCCTTTTGGGGCCCCCTTGTTGGGTTGCTCTGTTTTCGTGGCGTTCGTGCTCTCCCTAAATGAGACAGGAAATTTAGCATAAACAGTGGATGTGATGGATAACGTTACTGTGGACAGGATCTCTATGATATCAATCATCTACTATCCCAAAATCAGGGGAGGAAAACTTCCGCATTCAAATTAAATGTATTCCAATGATTAGAGCAGACAATGGACGAGCCGTGGTGCAACAAAAGTAACACTCGCTGCTCTTATTCATGAGACTCAGCAACTGGGTCATTGTCGTTTTCTAAAAATGTCTCTTTTTCTAGGACTTGAGGTTATTTCTAGTAAAATAAATAAAGGAAGTCTTGCATTCCATCAACTTACATATATTTGTCTCCCGATCAAAGTCGTCTCCTGCTGGCTTGAGTTTTATTTCAGCTTAAATCATTTTCCTTTACTGGTACTAGATCCTACTGTTTATATATATATATAGTTACAAGCCACAAATAGAAATAAGAAACAAAAATAAGACGTGGAGTTTTATTGAACTTTATTTTTTTCCCCTTAGTTTTGAGAACATGTGGATTGCAAGAAAAATCAATAAAAAAACAAAACAAAACTGGGGAGAATGTTGATTTGTAGCATTATTATCTTTATTTCCTGTAAATAAAACAGGATTTTCATTAGATGCTGCTATGCTGTTTTCCGCTGAGAGATATACTAGTAGGATGGATGCCTACATTTGGGGTTTATATACATTTTTACATAACATTTAAATGATTTTGTATGAAAATTTGTGAAGTTGTCTTCTTTCTGCACCAGCTATTAAACAATATGAAACTGTCTTGCCAAGAACAATTTCCTGATATCAGAGTGAAACTTCAGGCAATTTCAGCTTATTTCTAGCATAAGAGAGCTCGGTGGCTACAGGTTTTCATGAAAGCACATTTATTTTTCCTTAGTGTTGACCTTGACAGTTAATTTTTGAAATGCTTGGAGATATATCATTTTGCTAGATGGTTAAATTAAAGAAGGAGGATACACAATGTAATGTAATTATATAAATTTCATTTGCATAAAGCAAAAGATTATGAAAGAATGAGTAGCAATGAAAATGGAGTGGTTTCATGGTGAGATTATGGATGATTTTGTTGGCTTTCCCTCTCTTCTTCCTCCTCAACCATCCTTAGTGTTTTTATATTCTTTTAGGAATGAGGAAATGGGGTAAAAACAATTCTAACATGTTCATTTTTATTTCCTTCTAGAGCAGGGGTCGCCAAACTTTTGAGACAGAAGAGCTAATCCTGTCCCTCGAAGTTTTGGGAGACCTATAAAACAAATGAAATCACCATTATGTGCATAATAGCCTTTAAAAATTTTATAACTGAAACTATGATAGTTTTATTTTCATTTTCAGTTTTACTTCAGAGCCACATGTATGTACCCAAAGAGCCGCATGTGGCTCGCGAGCTGCAGTTTGCCGACCCCTGCTCTAGATGATGTGCTTTTCTGGGTATTTCTTCAAAGAGACTGACTTGGAACAAAAGAGAACTGGCATTATGCTTAGTGAAAGAAGCCAGTCACAAAAGGGCAAATATTGTTTGAATGTACTTATGGTGCCTAGAATAGTCAAAGTCATAGCAACAGAAAATAGAATGGTGGTTGCCAGGGGCTGGGGAGAAGGTGTAACGGGAGCTATTGTGTAAGGGGTCCAGTGTGTCAGTTTGGGAAGATGAATAAGTTCTGAAGATGAATAGTGGTCCTGGTTGCCCAACAATGTGACTGTACTTAATGCCACAGAACTGTACACCTAAAAATGGTTAAAACGGTAAATTTTGTTAAGTATATTTTACCACAATAGGGTTTAATCTAAAAAAGAAAAAGAGAAAACAGAAAAAGAACTGGTCCTGTGTCCTCATGAGCCCAGGTATTATGACCCAAGGAGTCTTGCCTTGTCAGTATAGAACCTGAGTTTGTATTGGACTGAAGCTGCTCCAGGCATGTCCTAACTTCAGTGCAATCTCTGAGGGGTGGGGAGACCACGGACCCCTATAGCTGGGGAGGGTATGGGTGCCACTCACCTGGATCTGATACTGAGCTCCTGTCTTTTCAAAAGCTTTCTTTTGTGTGAAATGAACAGTGATCCAGACAAGTATAAAATTGTGACTTGGGTATGCTCTATGTGGGGCATGTTTCTGGCTGTGTGTATTATTGACTTCTACTTGGGAGATGAAATAATTGGGTAAAAAAATTTATCTTCATTGGGGATGTCCGCAAAAGCTGGTACCTTTCCTATTTTTTCTGTTGAATGTACCCTCAGAGGCAAGCAACTAGGTGGCCTAACTTTTCTTTTGCCTTGTCCATGTTGTTCTAAAGAGAACTTAGATTTTTTATTTTATTTTAAAGATTTTATTGGGGAATTGGGGAAGGGAACAGTGTTGGGGAGTTGGGGAAGGGGAACACTGTGTTTTTCTATGACCCATCAGCTCCAAGTCAAGTTGTTGTCCTTCAGTTTTAGTTGTGGAGGGTGCAGGCCCAGCTCCAAGTCCAGTCGCTGCTTTCGATCTAGTTGCTGTGTGGAGGGAGGGGTGCAGCCCACCATCCCATGTGGGAGTTCAACCGGCAGTGTTGTTGTTAAGAGCACGTGCTCTCACCAGCTGAGCCATCTGGTCGCCCTTTGGCAGCTCAGCAGTAACTAAGCTTGGGCGCAGTTCACTGGCCCATGTGGGAATCGAACCGGCGACCCTGTTGCTCAGAGCTTGCGCTGTAACCAACTGTGCCACTTGGCTGGCCCGAGAACATAGATTTTAGATCTAGACCGAGCTGAGTTTTAGTTTGGGCTGTGCTGTGGGATGGGGGGGACAGTTGGTTGTCCTTCCTGAGCCACAGTTTCTCCATCTGTGAAATGTCTAGAATGATACCTACCTGGTTGGGAGGGTTTACTGTGATAACATGTGAAAAAGCTATAAAGTGCTATAAAATGCTATAAAGTGATCAAGATATAATATTTACTTTCTTGATTTCCAGTTGTTGAAATGGTCAGTAGGTTCACCAGACATCTAAATAAACCCCACATTTGTTATTGTGTTATGGAAGATGGTCCTTGATCAATAACTTATGCGTACATACTATTCAGGATTAAAATATTTTAAAAGATGATTCTTTCAGGAGAGGCTGATGGGGAGACATTTGTAATTGGTAGTTAAGTTTTTAATGCTTTATATTAAACTACATGGTCTTGGTTTTTATTATCTCCACTCTCTCCTTTTATTATCATCAGAAAATGTGGAAGACAGTCCCTCAATGTATGTGATGCCTCAGATCATAGTTTGATAGGTTTAGAATACCTATAATTGGGATTTGATCCTGGGTCAGTCTATGAGTGTGGTGACTAAACAAGTTACCCTTTTTCCCTCCCTGTAGGAGGATCCTATAGAAATTATAAGGGTTAATGTTTATTGAGCACTTACTGTTAGACGGTGGTCACTGTGACAAATGAGTTTTATGAAGGATATCATTTGGCGCCTCACCTCTGTGAGGTAGCTGCTGTAATTATCCTCAAATACAGGTCAGGCAGGGAAGCTGGGGCTCACCAAGTTTGTCCAAGGGCACCCAGCTAGAGCAGGTGATAGGATTGGTCTGAATATAGATTATGAGGACAGTACTTGACATTGAGGAAGGCACCCAGTAAATGTGAATGCAGACTCCCCACTCCCTCAAATGTCATTTCCCTAAGACACAAGAGCCACTAGGTTGCAAAATCGGGATTCCCCAAGGAGGGTAGAGAGTGTGTAAGGACCAACCAGTGTGAGCAAGCTCATGTCAGAAGCATGAACTGTATTTAGTTGTAATTGTAGTTCTGTGTGTGTGGTTTTTTTTTTGTTGTTGTTGTTTGTTTGTTTCTGATTCCTTTTTTAAACGAAGAAAATTTCTGATAATATACTTTTTTTTTTAAGATTTTATTGGGGAATTGGGGGGATGGGAACAGCGCTGGGGAATTGTGGGAAGAGGAACAGACAAGCTGCTGTCCTTTTGTTCTTCAGTCTAGTTGTGCAGGACGTTGCTTCACTGGCCCATGTTGGTATTATCACTGCGCTCTTCCTGGTTGAGGCAGATTGGTCGCCGGCCACTGGACGGCCGCTCACGGTGGCTCTTGGCAGCTCACACTGGCTGCTGGCCACTCACACTGGCTGCCAGCCACACACGGTAGCCCATGGCAACCCACTGCAGCAGGGGCTGCAGCCTACACTGTCACTGGCGACTCACGGCAGCCCAACTCCAGGTCGAGCTGTTGTTCACCAATTTAGCTGTAGAGGGTGCAGGGTCACTGGCCCTCATGTGGGATCCGAACCAGGGCCCTGCTGCTCAGAGCTGGTGTCCCAAGCCAGCTCTTAACCAATGTGCCACTTGGCTGGCCCCATAA